AATTATTAAATGAAAACGTCTATTTAAATGAACTATTTGAGCGACAGATGTTCTTACAAATGTATCGAAGCACTGGTTTTGAATTGGAATTAACAAATCTCAGTTTACATAAATTTATTTCTTTCTTTTACAATAAATTATTTAAATACTTTATTTTTCAGTTCCGGCAGGACGCAAACACTGCTTAATTCGAAGCAACATTCGCAACAACTTGAAGGGTTGATTTTCAGGTACGAACGGAGAAACGACGCCTGAACACTTCACGTTAAGCTCTACACGTTTTTCGCTAGCAAAAAACACTGGACGAAATAAAGAATGGAATATTCAGCGGCAGAATTACCGGTTGACTTAAATTATGCGATGAATCATTTGTGGAAGAATTTTTCACCTTGTCCACAGAAAGTCGCCGTTGTTTACCTCGCCGACTGGCGACCAACGGTGATTCGCGGGAAGGCGTAAAATTCGGCAACGGCTTTCGGCAAAAATTTGGTCCAGCTACGAAAAACATACAAGCTGGAAAGTAAACCTGGTCCGGCAAACACGGTATGCGTTCAAGCACAGAAAAAGCGAACAATGCACGTGACAATGCCATGATCAAATGACATTCACCGTCGTTCGTTCGGAAACAACGGAACCAGGGCACAAATCCGGGCAACATTACGAGAGTAAATTTTTATGGTTCTCGTCATCGCCGTGGTGCAGAACGTCTATCTCACGACTCACTGCAATATGCATCGTTTCATGTGTTTCACAGGAAGACACGGTAACGGTTAATTGATGGAAAATTTATGAATAAAAGACTTAACTAGGTATAACACAATAATAGGATAAATACGAAATGCGACTGGCAGACAGTGTGCCAGGGTCCGAGCTTCGACCGTAATCAACCTCAGTCTCTCTGGTGGAGCACAGTATGTCCAGGTGCTTGTCGCAGGGGAATCTCATAAACACATTTATTTCAGCAAATTATTTATGAAACGCAATTAAAAATCCGTTTGTGCCTGCTTCCACTGAATGGAAACTTCTTCTCAAACACCATCTATTTTAATAGGTACTATGGAAATTTTTATTAATCACTTATGATGAATAATTCACAATGAATTATATATGATGACAACCGGCTGTGGCGTGAACATTTGCCTAAAAAAACAACAAT